CTGTACATCTGCGACGTAACGCCAAACTAGCAGATGTGTACTCCTGTGTGGCGCTTGAGGACTTTGATGCTTCAGCACTCCAGGAGACAACTCTGGCTAGCAGCCATCAGTCGGCCATGTCGCCACAAGTCACGCCCACCTCCATGACGGAGAAACTCAAACTTGTTGGGCTTGGTGATGTTGACATAGAGTCCTGTGAGACATCGGGACAGTGTAAAGAGAGGATGGCTGACCTGGTTTTGCAGTACGAGGATGTCTTTTCCCGCCATCATCTCGACTGTGGGGAAGCCAAAAACTTTGTGCATCGCATCCGCCTCTCAGATAACAGACCTTTCAGACTTCCCTACAGGCGTGTACCCCCAAGCCAGTACCAGAAGCTGAGACAAGTGTTGACTGAGATGGAGGAGAGGGACATCATCAGGAAATCGACCAGTGAGTATGCATCACCATTGGTGCTCGTGTGGAAGAAGAATGGCGATCTACGCATTTGCAACGATTTCCGGTGGCTCAACAAGAGAACACTGAAGGATGCCCATCCTCTTCCACATCAAGCAGATTGTCTGGCTGCTTTGGGGGGAAACAGCCTGTTCAGTACCATGGACTTGACATCTGGCTTCTACAACATGATGCTGCATCAAGATGACAGGAAATATTCTGCCTTCACCACGCCCATGGGTCTATATGAGTATAATCGGCTGCCGCAGGGACTGTGCAACAGCCCTGCGAGCTTCATGCGCATGATGACCAGCATCTTTGGTGACCAGAATTATTTGAGCCTGTTGTGTTACCTGGACGATCTCCTGGTGTTTGCTCCAGACGAGGACACTGCCTTGCAGCGCCTGGAAATGGTGTTTGAGAGGCTGCGCGGGCATAACTTGAAGCTGGCCCCCAGAAAGTGCTTCTTCCTGAGGAAATCCGTGAAGTTCCTCGGTCACATCATCGATCAAAATGGAGTATCAACAGACCCATCCAAAGTCGAAGTTATCGCGAACATGAGGAGCGTGGACCTCATGGACACTGATGGAGTGACTCGGCCCAAGAGGGAGAGCAATAGAGGCTTTACATCACCTGCCACAGATGGTGTCCCCCGGTCTGGAGGCCTTACCTGCCCATTCAGAGAGAGAACTTAGGGACGCACAGCTGCAGGATGCAGTGCTTTCCCGCGTCGTCTTCTACGTTGAGAGACACAGGAGACCCTCGAGGAGAGAGCGGGTAGGGGACCCAGTCCTTGTTAAAAAATACCTGAGCCACTGGGAGAAGCTGGTCCTCAACACCGGCGTGTTGTACAGAGTCTCCAGAGACCAGATATCAGGTAACAGACGACAGCAGTTCGTGGTTCCCGACTCGTTGAAGGCTGAGGTCCTCCGAGGGATCCATGATGATGCCGGTCACCAGGGCCAGTTCAGGAGTTTAGACCTGGCTAGAAAGAGATTTTTCTGGTTGAACCTTGGGCGTGATGTGAGAGACCATGTACGGGGATGCCAGCGCTGTGTAGTCGGTGGGAGTCAACGGTCTACACCGTGATCGATGTGAACCACGATACTCACACTTTCAAGATCTGTGATTCTGTTTTCGGACGAGAGAGAGTGGTCCACCGGAATCTGCTGTTGGTGGCGAATTTCCTGCCCCTGGAGGATGATGCTGGAACCTCGGATCACGTCTCCTCTACGTGGGATGTAAACACGGCGCCTGAAGATGATGATGGGGCTGTGTCTGGGGAGGGGGATTTGAATGCCCCTGCTGTGAGCTGTGTTGGTGCTCATGGTAACCGCTCACCCAATGCCATGGGTGGGACAGCTGACCCGGAGGTTATCTCTGAACCTTTGGACCCTGGAGAGAGGACAGTTGCATGGGTGTCGCAGTTGACGGAGTCCAGCCGGTCTCAGGGAGATGTTACTGATGTTTCAAGCGTGGATTCAGTCTTGCCAGCCGCATCGGCCTTGTCTGTTGAAGTGGACTTTGACCAAACCGGTTCTAGCATGGCGTCCCAGGAGGTCAATATTGCTACGAGCTGTGGGGAGGGTGTACAAGTATGCTCTACTACACCTGACGTAGTGGTGGATGTAGTTGCTCCTGCCATTGCTGCTCAGTCCCCAGTGGTTGACTATAGCCAAACCGGGAATGGTTCCCAGATCAGAACCAGACTTGGGCGACTTGTCAAACCTGTGAATAGACTGATCCAGACAATGTCAAATCAAGTCGTGGTTCGTGACAGGTTTGATGTGAAGTCAGTTTGCAAGTCCTTGATCCCATCCTTCTCTAACTAAATGTTCTGTTTATATGCCTACCTGAATGATGGGATTTGTACTTGCTGTTATGTACTCTACATTTTTGCTTTTGTTTTTTTTTTCCTTTCTGTTGAGCCATGGTACACACCTTGTAAGGGGTTATTAGTAGGGTGTATTTCGGGCACCCTGCTGCCAGTTGCTGGGTTGGGAGTTTGGCGCTGCTCCCATCCCACTTCATCCTTAGGGATACGTTTAGTTGGTGTCTGTGATTTTTGACCTCTGGCTGGTTGGTGCATACTAGTGTGGGTACCTGAGGCTCAAATTTGATAAAATTCAGTGGGGGTGAGTGTAACGGAGTTAAAAATACATATGAAAAACATGCACTTACCTGTTCTTAATTATCATTTTAAGTGTGAATTTTATTTAATTTTTTTTTATTGTATTTTATTTTGAAAACCCAGAAACCGGATCTCACTCTAACGTTTAGAAGCTGCTAAGGCTTCCGCTTCTCACAGCGCGCGTTTGCACTGTGAGGGTAAGTCCTGTAATGAAAGGCTCTGGCATTTTTATGGTTTCTGGTGTGAATGTTGTTACATAAGTTGTACATGTCGATGTATATAGGTTCATATTGATGTTAGAAAGTTTCTGTGTAACTGAAACAAAGGCGGGTTGCTGTTAAATAGTGTTTCTGCCGTATTTATGCTCTTTGGCAGTTAGTCTTTGTCAGCCCCCTAGTGGTTGCTGCACATAGCAGGAAATGTGTTTGGATGTACCGTTTTTCTGTGCTTTTTGTGATGTTGTTTTACATTGTAGGAGCTACAATTGCTGTACCATCAGAAGACACCTGTTGAGTGTGTTTTATGTCTTCTGCAGGTACGTGAGCTTGTTAACCGCCATTTTGTCTGTAAAGCACAAGCAAGTGAAGATGTAATGCGCTATTGTTAATTTGACCACTAGAGGGAAATGTTTAGTTGGTGATACTTATGTTATCCTGTTATTCTGTTTTATACGATTGTGAAATGTATTTTATTAGTCATAAGATTTCTTTTGTATACAAGCTCAGTATGACAGAGTGTAAAATGAGAGAAATTATTATTTTCCACCTTTTCTTTATTAAAAGGTTAATTGTAAGTCTGTTAAGACAGCGCGCGTTTGCACTGTGAGGGAGCTACAATTGCTGTACCATCAGAAGACACCTGTTGAGTGTGTTTTATGTCTTCTGCAGGAATAAATCGTGAAAAGCCAATCTTTCTGAGCGTCTGTGATTTTTGAAGAGCTGGAAGTGTTACACTTAGACTCAAACGTTAGAACAGGCCTTTCCCCGCAGCACGCCATGTAATAAATACTCACAAAGAAAACAGCAGCCATTACAACTTATGTCTAAAAATGTATAGTTTCATGCATCAGTTAAAACAGTCGACTCCAGGTACATGACGCGCAGCTGGAAACACTTCACGCAAGTCGAGCTGCCCGAGATTCACAGAATTTACAGAAAATGTTAGATTTTTGTGATTTATATCGTACCATAGATGTCTTAATATCGGGATATGAGATTTTGGTCATATCGCACAGCCCTAGTAGGTATTAAGTAACATCCATATGAACCCCAGACTTTCCCTGCAAAAGACTGTCTTGCAATAACATAAATCAATGCCATTTGCTTCAGCAGTTTTAATTTTGTGGCTCATCACCTGCTGCTGTATTTCCACACTGACTCAACCTGTGAAATTGCAAGGCCTTGTTTCTTCAAAGGGCAAACCTCATTTATATGCATGACCCCTCATTTAAACCACTAAGCCCAGCCAGGCTTTGTCACCGTCAATGCTGTCACAGCTCTGCACCACGGCCCATAAATTAAAACTGCAGATGCCACAGAGAGCAGCAACAGGTACTTGTTATTTTAAGGAGGTGATTTGCTCCCTGTAAAACAGGAACAAACTGGCAGCAACGGGAACCATAACATATTTATAGTTAGCATGTCCTGACTACACTATTACGTGACCGAAGTTGTGGACCTCTCTCACACTTTTTGCTGCACGTGGAAGCCACCACAGCACAAAATTACACTGATGCATGAATTATGAAGTGAATGTACGCTTGATTTAGGGAACATCTAGGTACTGGTTTTGTTTTTGCCAAATCCACATTGGTATTTGAAATATGAGACAGCTTAGCTGGCAGTGAGTGATATTTTCTTAAGCTTTTATGTGTTTGTACGAGTTATTCAAAGGACTACTCTTTTTTTTTAACTCAGAAGCTTTCAAAGACTCTGTCAAGTCTCATTTAATCGCTTTTAAAGGCACCACTTGCATCTAAATTTGTGCTGATGAATTTTATGTTGCTTTATGAATACAGCTTTAAATGCAGACCATTAAAACTCTTACACCCAAATTCAGCCACAGCCATGCTGGTTTTTCCCCGAGCTTTTTCTGCAGAGCAACAAAGAAAGTACAAGTGGGAGAAAAAGCAAGAATGACTTTTACACAAAACATGAAGCATTAGGAGCTAAATGCGCAAAGGTGAGGTCACAAATAAAGGGCTCTGTTAGTTTCTCTGGTCCACTTCTTTGTAGTAACACTAGAATTATCACACAGTCGACACAGTGAGTAAAGCGTGCAGCATCGACAATTACTACAATTGCACATCTGTCTACACAAAGACTCCCTTCTCATCCAGCCAACCAGCCAGGTGGTTTGTTGCGTTCCTCTTAAAAAGTTACCGCGTTTCACAAACGGTCGGGGCTTTCTTTTGTTTTGCTTCCTTGTTGCTTACCTTTACTCACACCATACGGAAGTCGTACATTTAACCGTGGGGTTAAGTGGAAACCTTCTCCGAAACACGTAGCAGCAGCAGCAGCAAAAGCCTCTCTGAAAATCAGGCGGGCACCAAACCCTCACCTCTCGCCTCCGGTTCTACTTTCCTCAGTCGGATGATTTCCGCATTTGGTCACGTGGTGCGGCTGCGGGTGTTGCGCTTCCAAGTCTATATTTTACAAAAGCGAAAAAGGCGGTGGTGCAAAAGCAGAAACGTTCCTCTCTACTCTATGTGCTGCAAAAGAGTGACAGTCAAAGCTGGCTGTAAAACACTCCCAGTCTCCTCTTTCATCCTCGGGGTTTACTGTAGCGGATAGCGCCATCTGGCAGTGCTTTCTGCGCATGGGCAAACTCTAAATGAAGTTCTGTCCCTGACTCTGAAGATGTGTTTTTATTGCAGATACACATTACATCGCTTGCTTTAACTTAGTTTTATTAAAAGATATGTCTTCAAACATCACAGCTGCCGGCCAAACTTAAACTATTTTTGTGTAATAATATGGCAGATTTTTGGAAAGAGGTGAAAGCTCTTAATAACTGTAAACCATCTCTACCATCAACTGTTGAAGGTGTTTCTGGGGCAGATAACATTGCAGCATTATGGAGACAGCATTACAGTGCGTTGTTTAACTGTATAAAAAGTGATCCATATGAGGACAATCTTGACATGAGTAATGACACAATAAGTGTAAGGACACATGAAGTATATGAAGCCATTCATAGGTTGTCTGATAATAAATCCTCTGGTTTGGATCACATCACTGCAGAACATTTAAAACATGCTAGTTTAAGGCTAGCTCCTCTTTTAGCACTCTGTTTCACTGGGTTTATGATTCATGGCATATTACCAGACTCAATGCTGTGTATTTTACTGGTACCAGTTATGAAAGACAAAGCTGCAAAAGTGAGCTGTTTGGATAATTACAGGCCGATTGCACTAGCCAGTATTTTATCTAAGGTGTTAGAAAGAATCCTGTTTGATAGAGTTAGTGTGTTCATCTCTTCTCTGGATAATCAGTTTGGCTTTAAACCAAAGCACGGCACTGACATGTGCATATATGCACTCAAGGAAATAGTCAGGTTGTATAAAAAATTCATCTGTCCTCATGTGTTTCATTGATGCCTCTAAGGCTTTTGATCGAGTGAACCACAGAAAACTTTTTGATAAATTGAAGACACGGGGAGTTCCTCAATACATCGTGAGGATTCTCTCTTACTGGTACGCTCATCAGAACATGCAGGTTAAATGGGGAAGCAGTATTTCTGCCCCCTTTGGTGTCAGCAATGGTGTCAGACAGGGTGGGATTTTGTCTCCAATTTTATTTAATTTATATGTCGATGATTTGTCCATACAGCTGAGAGCCTGTAACACTGGGTGTATATTAGGTGAAGCACTGATAAATCATCTTATGTATGCAGATGACCTGGTTGTTTTTAGTCCAAGCAGTGCTGGGTTACAGGATCTTCTTAATGTCTGTACTGAATATGGTGTGCAATATGACATTGAGTACAATGCTGCTAAAAGTGCTGTTTTGATATGTAGAACCAAGCAGGATAAACAGCTAAATTTCCCTTTGTTTAAACTGGCACAAAAAACTCTTGAAGTTCATAAAAAGGTGAAATACCTCGGTCACTTTATTACTGAGCAAATGAATGATGATGATGACATATACAGACAACGATGTAAGCTCTATGTGCAGGCAAATACTATTGCACGCAAATTCAGCTTTTGTTCACTTCCAGTTAAAGTGGCTTTGTTTAAAGCGTATTGCACACCGCTATATACTGCCCCCTTGTGGTCATCCTACAAACAATGTAGCATGCAGAAGCTGCATGTTGCATATAATGATGCGATGAGAATCCTTTGCAGGATACCTAGAAGTGGTAGTGCCAGTCAGATGTTTGTAGCTGTGGGTGTCTGGACTTTTAAAGCACTTTTAAGAAAGTTAATGTTCAATTTTAGAGAACGACTGGATGGTTCGAGTAACAGTATAATTTTAGCACTTACAGATCCGACAGTGAGTGGTTCCCGTTACTCATCCAGTCTCAGAAAGCACTGGTTAAAGTGTTTGTGTATTTATTGATTTATTTTAAGTAATTGTGTTTTATGTATATTATGGTTTTATATTTTTACAAATGCTTTATATACTTATTTATATACATATATATATTTAATGGTATACCTTGTGTTGTGTGTGGGGGGGGGGGGGGGGGGGGGGGGAGTTGTGTGTGTGTGTTTCTTGTCTTGTTTTTATGGACATGTAGTCTGCCAATAAAGATTGAATTGAATTGAATTGAATTGAATTAAACCAAACAAACAAATGTTAGTTAGTAGTACTGACCCACTGTCCTAAAACCCCAGTTTATTAGCACTACTACTTCATTTCACTGCATTGTATTGGTCCTGTATGCTTCACGTGGAGCATCAGAGACGGTCATCTTCCCAAGACCATTTAGTCACTGGACTGACGTTAAAAGGCTCAGACAGGATTACAGATACTTAAAATGGACACCATAAAGAAAACATGCTTAGCTGATGCACAGAGGAATCATGACATGTTGCACGCTTTCTGTGGTAAACAAGTTAAACCTTGGTGCGCACGTGCAGTCATTTGCTTTGTCATTCAATAACATTATGCTGCTTTTATTTATGACATGGCCGGGCGGATCCAAAGTGGCCCTCTGGCCGGTGGTGGTCCCCGGACATTTCGCAAAAGACGTGGTTTAGAACTCTTTACCATGCTGCACCCTTGCATTAATCCTCCTCCGCGAACAATGTCAGGTTAATAACTGGTGACTGAAGGCTGCCACGTAGATACGACACCGTAAACTTGCAGTTTTAGCTAGCTTTTACAGTCACGTTAAATTGGCATGATACACTAAAATTTGACCTTTCACACGAGTAAATTTTAAATTTGAGAACAGATTAGTGGAAAACGTCAAAAACTAATAAAAAAGGCATTTGAAAGCATTTACCATATTCTTTAATAAACAATCATGGCTTAAGGCACTTTGCATCTTACATAACATTACACGTTATATCAAAACAGACAAGGAAGAAGAAAAACACTGATAACAACAATGATAAATATGATTTGAAAACATGTCAATTCTATTAAATTTTATTTATATAGCGTTGAATCACAACAACAGTCACTTCAAGGCGCTTTATATTGAACAGTAGATCCTACAATAATAGATACAGAGAAAAACCCAGCAATAATTTCACCCCCTATGAGCAGGCACTTTGGCGACAGTGGGAAGGAAAAACTCCCTTTTAACGGGAAGAAACCTCCGGCAGAAGCAGGCTCAGGGAGGGGCAGCCGGTCGCTGCAGATGGCAGAAGGCAAACAGGATAAAGACACACTGTGGAAGAGAGACAGAGATTAATAGCAGGTACGATTCAATGCAGAGAGGTCTATTAACACATAGTGAGTGAGAAAACTCAATGCATCATGGGAATCCCCGGCAGCCTACGTCTATTGCAGCATAACTAAGGGAGGATTCAGGATCACCTGATCCAGCCCTAACTATATGCTTTAGCAAAAAAGGAACGTTTTAAGCCTGATCTTAAAAGCAGAGATGTCACTGCAAAAGATGTTAACGGATCACAGTGGTCCCTTTTTTTTTAACAGCGCATTTCAAAAGTGGACAAGAGGGTCACTTACCTCCGCCTTCGGGTTGGGAAATGGGTCCTGACTGTTGTTAGTACTTGTGCGCCAAACAACAATTCGGAGTACCCAGCCTTCTTGTAACTGGGTGGGGTGCTGGAGAGCACCTCATCTGGTGACTGTTGTTCTACTGGAAGACTTCAATGTTCACATGGGCAACTACAGTGAAACTTGGATGGGCGTGATTGGAAGGAATGGCAGCGTTTTAATTTAACAGAGCTCACTATTTTAAAATGTAAAGATGTCGAGGAGGCTCTAGTTTTAAACACACTTTCCATGTGTTAATTCATAATACTTAGTCTACTTATTACTCTGTCGATATTCATTAGCCCGGCTAGCTCAGTCGGTAGAGCATGAGACTCTTAATCTCAGGGTCGTGGGTTCGAGCCCCACGTTGGGCGCAACATTTTTAATCCCATGTGTCATCACCTGAATTTCTTTTCTTCAGTGACCACATGATCTGCCTTCCATGTTTGAAAAAAAATTTTTTTTTAAAAAGCTATATACTACCCCTTGTAACTTTCAAAATTAGTAACTCCCTGATGTTTTCCATGTGGTCTCTGTGGCGCAATCGGTTAGCGCGTTCGGCTGTTAACCGAAAGGTTGGTGGTTCGAGCCCACCCAGGGACGACAAATTTTTTTTGTTGTTTTTTCTTTCTTTTTCTTCATGTCTTTGGGTTAATGCAACTTTACAAACCTTTGCAGTAATTTCTGGACCCCCACCCTTTCCCCCTTGTAAAACGTTATTCACAATATAGAAAATTACTCTAAAATTACAGAAATACTATATTTCTGCTTTTACTGTCCAGTGTGAGTTGCCAGTTTTAAATTTGAAAGGTAATTACAGTCAAAAAAGCATCAAATAAAGGGAGCAGCCATCGTCCCTGAGTGGGTTCGAACCACCAACCTTTCATTTAGCAGCCGAACGCGAAAACCGATTGCGCCAGAGACAATATGTGGCGCTTCACTAGCTTTGCCACAGTATTGCTGTGTGTGCTCTCAACAAGGGGGGAAGGGAAACAATCAGTACTGCACCATGTCGTCTCTGTGGCGCAATCGGTTAGCGCGTTCGGCTGTTAACCGAAAGGTTGGTGGTTCGAGCCCACCCAGGGACGTTTCCTATTATTCCAGCCTCACTGTAAAAGATTATAGATATTTGTAACTCAACGGGGGAGAGCTGGAATCAGAAACACTGAGACAAGGAAAGGTATTCTGCATGCAACGGCTTAAGATGTATTATGAATTCAAACGTCTTGATGCATACTCAATCATTCAGGTAAATAAATCACAAAAGGTTGATGTTGTTCATCTGCATATAGCGTTTTCAGTGGGAGAAACAGATGAACAGAATCAACCTTTGGGATCCATATCTAAACCACGTGTGAAGCACAGCTTAAAGACATAGTAAGAATTTACTTTTACTGTACCACTACACGATTTGGTATTTCACAAACACATATTGAAATGTTTCTGTTTTAATAAATTCAAACTAATGGATTTATTTCTTTTAAATTAAGTAACACTTATGAACTACTTCTCCAAATATGGTAGGAGAAGAAAAAAGAAAATTTCACGCGCCCAACGTGGGGCTCGAACCCACGACCCTGAGATTAAGAGTCTCATGCTCTACCGACTGAGCTAGCCGGGCAACTACCTGAGTTTCGGGGATTGGATCAAATGAAGTGTCTGGTCCCTAAGTATCAGCCTCTGAATCTTTCCCATACCTTCACATCCAGCGAAGACTGCTGTGATCTTTTGTGATGACAGCCCAGGTCCAGTTTACCAAAGGATAGGTGGACACCGGCTCATATTAAGTAAAGGGCAAACCTTCATAAAACGGACAGAGCAGTGGAGTAGCCAAGGAAATAGAAAAATGCAAAACTCAATTACTAAAATATAATTTATATCGCAAAAAAGATTTAAAAGTGGTTGGGTGTAGGTGTTCTGGTACCTCCTCTACATGAGGTATACCCAATTGCACGTTTGTGCAACATGATTGTTATAACATGGTTATAACATGGTTGGTTATAACATGGTATAACCAACATAACTGTCATAAGAGTTGCACTGCACGTTTGTGCAGCATTCTGCATTACCTGGCAATAACAGTGATATCGTCCCTGGGTGGGCTTGAACCACCAACCTTTCGGTTAACAGTTAAACACGCTAAGCGATTGCGCCACAGAGACTGACAACGTGCAACCCACGGGTGTCGAGACTGGACGGGGGAGTGGGGGAGGTGATTCCGGTCTTTTTTGGTTGTTAACAGCCGAACGCTCTAACCGATTGCGCCACAGAGACTGACAACGTGCAACCCACAGGTGTCGAGACTGGACGTGGGAGTGGAGGAGGGTGTTCCGGTCTTTTTGGTTGTGGGGTAAATGATTTTGCAACAGAGACTGAATAAAGCCAAGCAGGGGCGTCGAGAGAGGACCGGGTGGCTGGATGGAGGTGCTCTGGTACTTCCTCTCCATACCGCCTTGATTGTTTAAAATATGTGACTTGTAGGTCACACATACTTGGCAGCAAGTATGCAGTTGCGGACGAACAACAGCAACCGCAAAGATGCATAATACCCTTGATAAAACAGTTGACTGCGTTCATCAAACGACCGTCCTGGTTATACCATGGTTGGTTATAACATGGTATAACCAACATAACTGTCATAAGAGTTGCACTGCACGTTTGTGTAGCATTCTGCATTACCTGGCAATAACAGTGATATAGTCCCCTGTTGTGGCCATTTTTGTTGAATGTTTATAAAATGCAATTTGTATTCATTTTTGTTTTTTCTTTAAAGGTGTAAGAATATTCTGACCTGGTTTTGTTATGTAAATTTGTAATTAATTTTATTGGAGAAGCTTTTGGAAAGTGATTGGTTTATTAGGTTATGGACCCTCCCATTAATCAAGAGATTAAGAGCACCCTGGATGGGTGTGGTAAAGAGCTTTTGTTTTTTGTTTGCCAAATATCAGATGGGAAGACGGGAGGGTTAGAAAAAGATTTTTTGACCACTTTTGAAATTGTTAAAGCAAATTAAGTTAACTTTCGTTTAATTTTAAGTTTTAAGAAGTTATTTGGCTGATTTCTGTTTGTATTTTTTCACGAAATAAACGGCATATGATTTTTAAACAATGGAGTCAGAAGTGCGTTCTAAAACAAACCTCCCGTTGCCACCCACGGCCTTTTCTTGGACTTTTTTGGTGTTTGGAAAGTAAAAGGCCGCGACATTTAAGTCAAAAAATCATTTTGACTCGCTTGGATGTCAACTTGGAAGATGGGAAAACTTGCAAGAATTGGACTTGGAAGATTGGATCTTCGCAGAATGGACTGAAAAAATGACGCAAAGTTCGTGAGTAAATGCGAAACTTTGTTTGGATCAACCGAGATGCTGAGCTGCAACTTGAAACATTTGTATTAAACAATTATCTTTTGGACCTTGTAAAACGAATTTTCTGGTTAAAATGGAGGAACAAGAAAGAGAGCTTTTTAATTTAATTAAAAAACGCAGAGCGAAGCTTGGCGTTCTGACAAGAAAACGAAATGACATTAATGCTCTCATTGATGCTGGAGAATCAAAAGCCTCCATAGATGAACACATGAGAACATTTAATGATTATTTGGGAGAGTTTATAAACTCTTACAGACTTCAGTTCAAAAATTGCTGAACGATGATGAAAAAGAAACAGATCACAGCGATTGGTATGAACCTAAGCTGATCAGTTTTAAAGACTTTCTGCATGAAATCGACACTTGGATAAATGCAGACCCTAATCCACAAAAGGATGAAGTTGTAGCCTCTAATGTTGAATCAAAGGTAGCATCTCATGACAGTGACATTGCGCCGCATGATAGTGTCTCACAAGTAGCGCAAGAAGCGAGCGACATGATTTCTGAACGAGTTGCTAAACCTGGCAGCAAGGGCTCTAGTAAAGCGCCCAGTAATGTTACTGCAGCCTTAAGTTTAAGGAGTAAAAGCTCGCGTGCGGCTTCAATTGCGCTGATGGAAGCTGAAGTGGAAAGAGCCGCTTTAAAAGCGGAGGTGGACGCACTGCAAGAAAAACATGCGCTCGAACTGGAAGAAGTTCAATTAAAAGCAAGAAAAGAAGCATTGGCTCTAAGAACTAAGTTGGTTAAGGCTGATGCAAAAAGGCAAATTCTCACCTCTGCTCAGGATCGGCAGAGCCTTGCATCCAGGGCTGAGGTTGAATCAGAAGGCGGGATTACAGCGCCGTCTGGAACATCTACTGAGTTCATACCTGCTGCTACAGCTCGAAAGGCTCCAAGAACAAAGAAAGCCCCTTTAGTTCATTCTCCTTTGCCAATGCCCCTAGAGACACATGCACCTGCTAAGGTCAAACCAGAAGGGGAAAGCCCAAGGCCAATCTCTTCTCAGGTTGATGTTCACAGCAGTGCCCTATTAGAGATTATGACAAAGCAAAATGAAATTACTCAGATGCTTGTAAACCAACAGAGGTTGTCACTGCTTCCAGCTATAGACATTCCTGTTTTTGGTGGTGATCCTTTGCGTTTTAGATCCTTTCTTAAGGCTTTTGAACAAGGAATAGAGACTAAAACTGATAATATGCAGGATAGGCTTTATTATTTAGAACAGTTTACTACAGGACAGCCCAGAATTTTAGTGAGAAGTTGTATGCACATGAGTCCACAGACAGCTTATGTTGAGGCAAAAAGGCAGCTTGAGTGGAACTTTGGTAACAGAGCAAAGATAACGTCTGCATTTATAGACAAGGCTCTTAACTGGTCAATTTTAAAGTCTGATGATGCTTCAGCATTACGTGCTTACACATTCTTTCTAAGAAGCTGCTTCAACACAATGGATGAAGCTGGGTTTCTTGATGAGCTGGAAAATTCAACCAATATGAGGATTCTTGTTTCAAAGTTGCCTTTTAGACTTCGTGATAAATGGCGACTAATAATCGTTGATATAACAGAAAAGTGCGATCGCAGAGCAGGATTTAAAGATCTTCTTGATTTTCTTGAAAAGCAAACAAGAGCTGCATTAGATCCTGTTTTTGGAGCGAGTCAAAACACAAAAGAAAAGATAGCTTCAAAACCATCAAAGACACCGCTTAAAACTAAAAGCAGTAGCTTTGCTACTTCTGTTGCTGTAGTTTCAGACAGAACAATGACAAACCGGAACGGATTCAGATAAGCCATGAAGATAAAGGGTTAGATCAAACTCGGTGCTTGTTTTGTAACCAAACTCATTTTTTGGACGTATGTGACTCATTCAAACTAAAAGCCAACAAAGAAAAGGTGACATTCCTTAAGAGTAAAGGTTTATGCTTTGGTTGCTTAAAGAGAGGCCACATGAGTAAAGCTTGTCCACATCGTTTGACGTGCCACACCTGTAACAAAAATCACCCTACTGTTCTTCACATAGACTCAAAAGAACGGCAGTGGCAAGCAGCTAAAGCTGAATGTAAAGAATCATCAGTCTCAAATGCTCTTGTTTCTTTGAACTTTGGTAGCCATACTGGGGCCGGGTCTAATGAATGTGCCTTGTCAGTTGTTCCAGTAAAAGTGAAGTTGGAAAATGGGACGAAGGTTGTGGAGACGTACGCCTTTCTTGATCCCGGCAGCTCTGCAACTTTTTGCACTGAGGCGTTGATGATGCAGTTAAATGCATCTGGAAAGAAAGTGGAAATCATGTTAAAGACTATGGGTCAGGAAAGGCCAGTAAGTAGCTATAAACTTTTTGGTATGGAAGTAGCTGCTTCGAAACAGAATGAGTATTTGAGGTTGCCTGTTGTGTACACTCAAAAGTTTATTCCTGTCACTAAAGAAAATATCCCTAAAGAAGAAAACTTAAGAAAATGGCCTTACTTAAAGGAGGTTGAGTTGACACCGATAAATGCTGGCATTGGGCTGCTTATTGGTGTAAATTCTCCCAAAGCGCTGAAACCTTGGAGAATCATTAACAGTGAGGGTAATGGACCCTATGCTGTGCTGACTCGTCTTGGTTGGGTTGTCAATGGGCCACTCAATCAGGGTAGTGAAAAGGATGAGCATGATGCTAGTTTTGTCAAGGTAAACCGCATTTCTATAAGTAGTTTAGAGGAAATGCTGGTTAAGCAGTATAATCAAGATTTTGTGGAGAACCAGTGTAATGAGCATGCAGAAATGTCTGTAGAAGATAAACAGCTCATGAACATAATGTCAGAGTCAGCTGTACTTAAGGATGGCCATTATTACTTGAAATTACCCTTTCGTAAACCTGAAGTAAGAATGCCAAACAACAAGCAGGTGGCTCAGCAGAGGGCGCAATATCTGCTAAAACGGTTTCAGAAGGATCAGTTATTCTTTGAAGAATACAAAGAATTCATGCACAATGTTAGTATGGAGGGACATTCAGAAATCATACCACAAGAACAGTTGAAGAATGAGGAAGGAAAGGTGTGGTATATACCTCATCATGGGGTCTACCACCCCCGCAAGAAAACACTGCGTGTTGTGTCTGATTGTGCTTCAACATTTTCTGGAACATCACTGAACAAAGAGCTATTACAAGGCCCAGATCTGACTAGCACTTTATTAGGTGTGCTGATTCGCTTTCGGCAGGGTCCAATAGCGCTTATGACAGACATTAAAGGGATGTTTCATCAGGTCAGAGTAGCTGAGGAACACGTAAACTTTTTATGTTTTCTCTGGTGGCCCGATGGTGACATCACAAAACAGCTGGTGGAACATAGAATGCTAGTCCACATTTTGGTGCAGTATCCTCCCCCAGCTGTGCCACCTATGCACTACTAAAGACTGCTGATGACAACCAACATCTGTACCCAGAGGAGGTTATACATACAATCAGGCATAGTTTTTATGTAGATGACTGTCTTAAATCTACTCAGTCTGTTGAGCAGGCCATCTCACTTTATCAGCAGCTTACTGAAGTGTGTGCCAAGGGGGGATTTAAGCTCAATAAGTGGGTATGTAGTGATTGCTCTGTCCTCTGTCAGATCCCGGAGGAAAATAGAGCCACAGGTGTAAAGATGCTGGACCTTAGTCGGGATCAGCTACCCACAGAAAGAGCTCTCGGTGTGCAATGGGATATTGAACGTGATGTTTTCACATTCAGTATTGTGAACAAGAACAAACCACTTACAAGACGTGGTATTCTGTCCAATATCAGCTCCATTTACGACCCTTTGGGTTTCTTAGCTCCAGTCATTCTGCCTGCAAAACAAATTCTGCAACATCTATGTAAACTGAGGTTTGGCTGGGATGAGACAATACCAGCAGAAATGGCACAAACTTGGCAAAAATGGGTTGAGGATTTAGTTCTTCTTAACAAGTTTAGTATTAGTAGATGTGTCACACCCAAAGGATTTGGGGAGATAAAAAGTGCACAGCTGCATCACTTTTGTGATGCCAGTGAAAGTGGGTATGGTGCTGTATCATATCTTAGGCTATCTAATAGCAAGCAGGAAGTGTGTGTTTCCTTTATTATTGGTAAAGCAAGGGTGGCGCCGTTAAAACAAGTCACCATCCCACGTCTTGAGCTGGCTGCTGCAGTTTTAGCTGTGCGCTTGGACAAAATGCTATCAGTTGAACTCAATCTTAATCTGAGTGAGTCAGTCTTTTGGTCTGACAGCACAACTGTGCTACAGTACATTGCAAACACAACCACACGGTTCAAAACATATGTAGCTAATAGAGTTTCCACCATTCATGCTTTGACAAAAGTTGAGCAGTGGAGGTACATCAGTTCAAAGCTGAATCCAGCTGATGCAGCCTCTCGAGGAATGACAGTTGGCTGTTTCCTGAAATCTTCCACCTGGATCAATGGTCCAGAATTTCTCAGTAAACCTGTTGTTCACTGGCCTGTAGGCATGAATTGTGTATCTGTCCATTTGGAAGCTTACCCAGAAGTAAAAGTGTTGTGTGCAGCTGTGCTGAAAGAAGATGTGTGTCCCACTACTAAGCTGCTGTTGTACTTCTCCAGCTGGACAAAATTAAAAAGGTGTGTGGCATGGATCCTAAAAGTAAAAGAAAGACTTAAACTGCAAACAAGGAAAAGACAGAAGTTGCTGGGCACGCACTGTGGAAGTCAAATATGTGTTAAGCAAGATGATAAATGGAACACTCTGCTCAAAACTGAGGATTTGTCCAAGGCTGAGGAAGCTATAGTGAGCTTTGTGCAAAGAAAACATTTTGCTGATGAAATGACTGCCCTAAACTCTGGCACTGTAAGAAAGTCAAGTCATCTGTGTAAGCTTGGTCCTGTAGTTGCTAATGGTGTCTTGAGAGTGGGTGGAAGACTGAGCAAAGCGGATTTACCTGAGGAAACAAAACATCCTGCAATTTTGCCAAAAGAAAGCCATGTTTCAAAGCTTATTCTTCAGCATATTCACGAAAAGATTGGTCACAGAGGAAGAAATCACATGCTTTCAACACTTCGCCGTCAGTACTGGATTCCTCATGCTAATTCAGCAGCTAGAAAAATAATCAGAGATTGCATAGTGTGTCAAAGACAACGGCAAAAGCCAGGTGAGCAGAAAATGTCTGATCTTCCTATGGACAGAATCTCAGCTGATCTTCCACCATTTACTTATGTTGGTGTTGATTATTTTGGACCAATGGAAGTAAAGAGAGGCAGGAGTCTTGTTAAGAGATATGGAGTTCTCTTCACATGCCTAACATGTCGTGCAGTCCACCTTGAGGTGGCACATTCTCTTGATACAGGCTCCTGTATTAATGCCATCAGGAGATTCATCTGCCGCAGAAGACAGGTCAAAGAAATCCGGTCAGACAATGGAACCAACTTTGTCAGCTCGAATCGTGAGTTAAAACAAGCTATGTTAGAGCTAAACCAAAGTAAAATCCAAAAAGGCTTAGCACAGGATGGCATAAAGTGGACCTTTAACCCGCCCTATGGGGGCCATCATGGTGGAGTATGGGAGCACTTGGTGCAAGAAATAAAGAGAATATTATACTCTATCACAAACCAGCAAGTACTAGATGATGAAACCTTGCATACAGTTTTTTGTGAAGTGGAGGCTATACTGAATGACCGCCCAATCACACCTTCTTCTGAAGATTCCAATGATGTCGAAGCTCTCACTCCAAATCACTTGCTCCAGTGAAAAGGCAAACCTGTGCTGCCACCAGGTTTCTTTAAAAAAGAGGATCTGTATCTGCGAAGACGATGGAAACAAGCCCAGTATATTGTGGATCTATTCTGGAAAAGGTGGGGTGAAAGAATACCTTCCTATGTTGCAGGAACGACAGAAATGGAACAAGATTCGTAGGAACTTTTGCATTGGTGATGTTGTGCTTGTTGGTTGATGGAGCTGCACCAAGAAATTCTTGGCCCATTGGCCGCATCACTGAAACCATGGCCGATGCACACGGAGTAGTTCGCCGTGTTAGAGTTAAGACACGAACAAATGAGCTGGGAGACCAATCAACAAAATATGTCTCCTGGTGGAGGCCATCTAGAGGAAACAATGAATGTTTGCCTCCAACTGAGCCAAGTTCTGGAACCTCTGGCTCTACATTTACACTGACACTCACTTGGCTCTACACTCCATTATGCAACATACACCTTTTTTGAATACACACAAAGCAAACACATGAACAACAGAGACTTAAAATCATAGAACATTGACCTTTCCTTTTGTTTGGTTTTTAAGAAGACTTATAAGGATGGGACTACTGAAGAAAATTATTGGTATTGCATTTTGTGATGGCCACTTAGAAGATTAATTCATGTTACACAGGAATTAGGGGCCGAATGTTGTGACCATTTTTGTTGAATGTTTTATAAAATGCAATTTGTATTCATTTTGTTTTTCTTTAAAGGTGTAAGAATATTCTGACCTGGTTTTGTTATGTAATTTGTAATTAATTTATTGGAGAAGCTTTTGGAAAGTGATTGTTTATTAGGTTATGGACCCTCCCATTAATCAAGAATTAAGAGCACCCGGATGGGTGTGGTAAGAGCGTTTTTTGTTTGCCAAATGTCAGATGGGAAGATGGGAGGGTTAGAAAATGATTTTTTTGAACACTTTTGAAGTTGTTAAAGCAATTAAGTTAACTTTCGTTTAATTTTAAGTTTTAAGAAGTTATTTGGCTGATTTTGTTTGTATATTTTCCACGAAATAAACGGCATATGATTTTTAAACAATGGAGTCAGAAGTGCGTTCTAAAACAAACCTCCCGTGCCACCCACGGCCTTTTCTTGGACTTTTTGGTGTTTGGAAGTAAAAGGCCGCGACAGTTTGCCTTTCCTGGACTGCGCTGTGCACATTGAAGAGAACGGCAAACTCAACATCGAAGTTTACCGGAAGCCCACACACACGGACCAGTACCTCCTGTTCGACTCCCATCACCCTCTGGAACACAAACTTGGAGTAATTAGGACCCTACACCACCGGGCAGAACATGTTCCCTCTAAGCCTGAAGGAAAAAAGAAGGAACACACACATGTAAAGGAAGCACTCAAAACGTGTGGCTATCCTAAATGGGCGTTCTTAAAGTCAGCAAGAGGCACAGAAAAGAAGACCAGACACCAGCGAGGGAGGATAAGAAAGACAGACGGAACAACATTGTCATCCCCTATGTAGCTGGTGTATCAGAAAAACTCAGGAGAGTTTTCTCCAAGCACGACATCCCGGTGCATTTCAGACCCAGCAACACGCTCAGACAAAAACTGGTTCACACGAAAGACAAAACGCCAAAACACAGACTTAACAATGTGGTGTATGCTGTACAGTGCAGCGAGGAATGCCCAGACCTCTACATTGGAGAGACCAAACAGCCACTTCACAAGCGCATGGCACAACACAGAAGAGCCACCTCAACAGGACAAGACTCAGCAGTCCATCTGCATCTTAAGGATAAAGGACACTCTTTCGAGGATGCCAATGTTCACATTTTGGACAGAGAGGACAGATGGTTTGAAAGAGGAGTGAAAGAAGCCATCTATGTCCACTGTGAGCAACCATCTTTGAACAGAGCGGGGGTTTACGACACCAACTCTCTGCCATCTATAATCAGTTTTGAGATCCCTTCCCAGACGCCTTAACGCCCACTCACATCCTGGGCCATCTGATCTCAGGAATTCGCATGATAAGGTGGGGCCAGGTTTCACAATGAACTCACCCGAAACTCTGGCTGATTGGGACCCGCACCCAGTTTCACACCTTGGCTCAGGCGATTAGAGGATCATCAGGGGGTCCTTTTGTCCCTCTGTGGGGGTTACTCCCACTAGGTTTATATCTGGGACTCTCCACCATTTGACCTTAGAACTGAAGAAGCTTCTTGGATGAGAGGTGAAACGTCTTCAAGTAACTTAAAGAAGTCCAGACGTTTTTCTTTGCAAGCTCCTTTGAACAAAGAGAAACTTGTAAATAACTCATGAAAGAATAAGTTACGTTGAAACCAAGCACACCATTGTTTTTCTTGTGACATTACCAATAAGTTTGATGTGTCGCATGGACTCTTCCTATTGAAAAAACAAAAGTTGTATCCAAGATGGCCAACTTCTAAATGGCCACCATGGTCACCACCCATCTGGAGGAGTTTGCCCCCTCACATATACTAATGTGCCACAAACAGGACTTTAATATCACCAACCATTCCCATGTTATTACGGTGTATCCATATAAATGGCCCACCCTGTATATGTTGAAAATAACATCTTCAACATTTAATTCATTATTAGACTCAATTGGCTTCTCTCAAAATCTCATTCATTGTTTTAATCACACTCACACACACGTATGACATACAAACTGGATATGCAACAGTTTTTCCTGAAAACAGTCTTTTGTCTGATTGTTTTTTGATAATATTGAATTTTACAGTTATAGAATACACAGCATCTGACGTTAAAGCACAAGCACAAGCTTTTCTGGGAGTGCTTTAAGTGTGAGGAAGTGATTCCTCCACTGTGCTCTTCTTCAATGCCATGTGCCAGCACAGTGCAGAGCAGCTACCTTCACTCTCCTCTGACAGAGGTTGATTATCTGATTAATAGTGTTACATCCATACTGTGTGTACGTCCTTTTTCTCTGAAAAAGGAAGCCCCAAATGCTTGACTCCCTGTTAGAACTCACAAACACACCATAAAGCAGATAACACGTTAGCTGGAGAGGAAATGGACATCTCACTATTTATCACTGAACAGGAAACTGAAACAACCTTAGATTTCTTTTCAAAAGAGCTGAAGACAGCCTTGTGAATAAAAGCTTAACCATTAGAGAAAAAAAGTTACTCACAGCCATCCCACAGACATGTCATTAATGTCATTTGCAAAGGTATGGTTTCAGTCAGGGTTAAGAATGCATCATAGCACAGAAACAGCTATGATGCATGACCTATGGTGAAGGTTACAAATAATTTTCTTATAGCATCTGACAGTGGACTCATCTCTGTGCTTGTCCTGCTTTACCTCAGTGCCATGTTCAATGCTGCTGACCACAATTTTTTATTACAGAGATTAGAGTATTTAAATTATACATGCTTCCATTAGCAGGTATTATTTGAAAATGGTGCATACATGTAATTGCTATGTAGATGAAAAAGCTACTTTCCTCTCTTTTCTAAACAGGTTGCTCCAAATGTTTGATTTGGCAGAGTTTTGTTCTTTCTGAGACGACCACAAAAGGGATTTATGTTCATGGCTAGAATGACCCACCAACTTTTCACTTGCTAAGTAAATGTGTTAACCACTACACTATTGAGCATCACTACTATTACACTTCGTTCTCAGACTGGCATACTTGTGGCTCCTAGGATATTAAAGTAAAATGGGAGGCAGAACCTTCAGCTTTCTGGTCCCTCTTTTATGGAACCTGCTCCCAATTTGGATTCAGGACTCTACTTTTAAGATTAGGCTTTTATGAAGCTTACAGTGAAGGCTTGTAGGTGACCCTGAACCCTTAGTTATGCTGCTATTGACCTAGGCTGCTTGGGTACTTTTGATTATGTACTGTTTCTTCTTCGCTCATTCGCTCTTTTCACTCTCTGTGTGCTTGTACAACACTGATGTACTTA